AACTTGAAGATGTCCGGACTTCAACTCCCAGAATTCCCCAGCCAGCGAATGCTGGCTGGGGAATTCTGGGAGTTGAAGTCCGGACATCTTCAAGTTGCCAAGGTTGAAAAACACTGGTCTAGACCAACCCCCTGCTCAAGCAGCAGCCCCTATGCCAGAGGTCTTCAAACCTTAAGACTTGTGGACTTCCAACTTCTGGGAGTTGAAGTCCACAAGTCTTAAGAGTTGCCAAGTTTGGGGACCCCTGCCCGATGCCATTCTAGACATTTGGAAAAAAAAAGGAGGGTGCCAACCAGTTATTCTTTTGCTTATTTTCCTCCCCAAGGAAAAGGATTAGAGAGATGGTATGAGAGAGCCCAGTGTGAATCAGGAGTTGGGAGATCTGAATCTGATGTACCTTCAATCCTGGAAACTGTTTTGATGGGCCAATCCCTCTCATTTCCACCCATCTTCAAATTTCTCCATCCTAAGTGGAGTTTTTGTAATCTACAAACGTTTTGATTCCCTGCGTCTGCTGATAATACCCATCACGTCTGAAATTCCCGTTATAGGATCACGAATGGGGGCAAGACCACCTTGACCAACAAACTCACGCAGTCGCTGCCCAACTGCAGTGTGGTCCATCAAGACGACTTCTTTAAGGTGGGTCGGGAAAATTAGTTTGTTTGCTTCCCCCCCCCCTTTGATTTTTGTCAGGCACCCCGAAGGCCATGATAGCAGTTCCTCTTCCTGACTGGAATGTGTGGATAAAGGATATCTTTGGGAATGTGCTGATTCTTAGCATGTGAACTTTTATTCTTTGTGACGTCTCAGTACAATTAAAATCTTAATATTCTGCCCATGTAATTGATGGGGAACTGCTATGACAGAGCTGAGTCAGGATAATTTAAGGCAGAATTGTTCCTGCACCTTTGCAAGTATCTACTGAATAAATGATATAGAGGCAATAAATTCAGTTTTTTAGCAAGAGACTAAGGATTCTGATTGCTTGCTCATAACTCCTTTCAAATGCATACACTTAGCTTAGACAACAGAGAAAATGGCCAGATGGCATATTAAGAAATATCCCCTTTTTTGCTTACTTTGTACTAAACCCTCCTTGGATGTTAGGATGCTTTTTTAGATGCATAGTGAAGTATAATTTGCCTCCAACTGAATATCTTCAGACAAAGTTTTTGCCCATCTTTGCAGATTGTCTCAATCTTTTCATACTTTTCTCCAATCCTTTTTCATCGTATCAATACTCCGAATTCCACATGTTTGCAGAATCACAATTAATGGAACTCTCTCTCATATTTTACATCTTTTGTTTTTCCCATCTTATGAACTACATTGAGTTCTAGCGTTCTGCTAAGTCTTCAGTATTGGTCCTCCCTTTAATGTGTTTTTGTCATATATCAGTTTACTTCTGGAGAGTTGGGACATAAAGGTTTTCTGTAGTTACTGGATAAGATCCTAATATACAGTTGGCATGACTCTACTGTTTTGAAAGTAGGATAGGTGTGTATTTGTTAGTGATGAGATAAAGGGTTAAGTCACTTATTGCCTTGTGACCCTGTTTTATGTAAGTTATTGAAAGTCCAGCTATCATCTTTTAATATGAGCGTTGAATTACCAGGGAGTCAGTTAGAAAAGGGTTTTATTCATCTTGCTCTTCTTAAAAGTAGCCTCAGGAAATCTGTGACTAGCTTTGCAGACAGTTTTCTGTTCTGTTTCAGCCCCAAGATGAGATACCGGTTGAAGATGGGTTCAAACAGTACGATGGTAAGTTCTATTTATATCAATGTAGTAACTATTTAAAAAACCTTTAGTTCTGTCACAGAACTAGTCCGTGAAGAGAAAAAAAAATAAGAATGCAAGTTTGATCATCAGCTGAGATCAGGATATTTTGTAATAGTTTGTCTCTCCCTTTGGAGCTAACATTTCTGTTCTTTTGCCTTAAGTTATCAGTGCTTTGGATATGGATGCAATGATGAATACCATCAGTGCCTGGAGGAAAAATCCTATCAAGTTTGAACGATCCCATGGCATTAATACCCTTGATACCAGCACCATAGAGGAAGATGACGACACTATTCATATTCTGATTGTGGAAGGATTTTTACTTTATACTTATAGGTAACTGAAGTCAAGGCAGCAGCTTCCAGTAGTAGAATGTTCTATAGGTCCTGGTATTTCTGTCATATTTTTGCTGGCAAATAAAAGTCTCAGATATTTTAAGGGCCGTCCCAGCTTTCAGTATCTAATCAAGTACCTGCTAACACTTGTTTATTCTTAGCAAGTATTTGACAGATAATGCAACAGGCGTGGTGTGAACCGTTTTGATTGTACAATATACATGAGAGCAGGTGGCGATTAGATAAATTTTACTAGTTCCAGTGCTCTCAGATTATATATAGAAAGAAGCATGCAGGAGGAGCACTTTCTTGAGGGAATGTTTGGTTTGGTTTCATTTAACCCATAGCTGATAACCGATGCATTACCGGGCGTAAACTAGGAAGAAGAGGCTTAGGTAGGTAAGAAATCCCTAGAAGCTTATTTGTACTGAATGAAGAACACCCCCCCCCCCAAAAAAAAAATACAACAACCCACAAGCAAATGTGATATGTCTGAAATAATATAGGTGCAACCTAAAATATCCAGGATTATTTAGAGAGTAGATAGGGTACTGTTTCTCAAACTTGGCAACTTTAGAATGTGTGGACTTCAATTCCCAGAATTCCCCAGCCAGAATGCAGAAACAACTAATGGTTTAACTTGGTATGTAAGTGCAGTTGTGATTGATACTGGACACTGACTTAATATAGTTTTGGAAAAAGCATTTAGTGATTTGTAAGAGAATGGATATGTAAATAGTTTGAGCTATACCAGAGTCAATATGTCTCCCTTATGGGGAAGGCTTTATTTTCTGGTGGGTATTTTCCCAGAAGCTTACAGACATGGTTAAAAATATGATAATGTACAAGATGGGACTTTGCCTAGCCTTGTGTTTTGTTATTTAACAAAACTTGAGAGAGATTTTCCTACTTTTCAGGCCCCTGATCGATATTTTTGATGCCCGGTATTTTCTTTCTATCCCTTATGAAGAATGTAAGAGGAGGAGAAGGTAAGTCCATGACGTGAAAAGCTTGTGTTTAGAGGTGGATATCTGGAAGGACTGGATGGCTTTAAAAGATCTACATAAACAACTCAAATTCAAATGGATGTTTTTTTCTTTCTCTAGTTCAAGGAATTACACCGTCCCAGATCCACCTGGATTATTTGATGGTCATGTCTGGCCCATGTACATCAAACATAAGAAGGTGATGAAAAACCTTAATGTCGATGTTGGTAAGTCCAACTGGATTTTGGAAGCCCCCTTTGAATTTGATTTTCTTGTATTACTAAGTTGGACAATTGTGTTTCAAAACGTAGGTCTTTCAATAACATTCCCAGAGTTGTTTGCAAATGTAACAAGTTGCTGCTACAAAAAAAATATTTTTTTTTCCACTTAAACTGTAACGGTTCATAATTTTGCTTATGGTTTACTTTGCAATTCTACCCACAGACTGAAAATGGAAGGGATAAGGATTGCTTGAGTCAGGAAGTCAGAATAGTTGTCTGGACTCTGTTTTATTTAGTGAAAGTTAGTAGCTTTATTAATAGCCATGGTTTTAAATAAAGTATAGTTTGAACAAACTGCCATTTATTAAACTTGTAATAACAAGCTACAATATATAGCTTTATTTCACCTAATGAAAAACAATACCGAGCTCAGCAAAATTGTTCTTATTTTCAAATGGTGCTGCTTATATTCCAGTTCATTTGGATGGGACAAAATCAAGGGAGGAACTTTTTGACACTGTTTACAATCACATCCAGAACAATTTAGAAGAACTGATTCACATGCAGGTATGTATTTTACTTAAAAGCTTAGGAGCAAATCATATGCAGATTATTACATACAACAAAATACTACCAACTTTTTTTTGGGGGGGAGCATTGATTACAAATGTAAAAATTTAGCCCTTACTGTATTTTTCAAAGGCTTGCTGATAAAGAAGGAATTGTTTTGGACATAGATCAAAAAGTGATGGTTCCAAAACAGTAGTTTGATACAGAATTTGGAAAAGATCAAGGCCGTTAGTGACTGGGGAGGGAAGGGAAAGTGATAGGATTGGGGAACAGAATAGGTTGCTGCCTAGTCATGAAACCGTTAAGTATACAGTAAGGGAACTGGTATTTTCAGTAGTTGCATCCTAGAAGAGCCGCAGAAAGGATGGCATTGGGGAGCTGGTGGAATGGGCAATACTGGGACATTGGTGGTGGGTTGGGAAACTTTAGCTTATGTTATGCTTGCAAACTGCTGGGAAGGAGAATTGTACAGAAGGTGACAGCAGTCTCCTTGCTCATTCCATAAGATCACTTTGGGATCCCTCTGCTTTCGCTTCGTTTGAAACCCTGCGGCACTTAAAATATTTTGGGTTTTTGTTTTACCAAGCTAATTTGAAATGGTTCCACAGAACTTCAAAAGTACAGTGGCTTGTTCGGATTTTGGAAATATATATATTTTTTGTTTTGTATGTACTCCTTAAAAAGACATTATGAAAAAGTTACGATGAAGGTAGTCCTCGTTTACCAAACGGTCATTTAGGAACCATTTGAAGTTACACTTCTAATAAAAGGTTCTCTTTACCATGAATTCCAAAACTTTACGGGAACACAGTGCTATTGACTTCAATGCACCTTCTGGGTCTATGAGACTAGGATGATGGTTTTGCTGTATTTACAAAAATGTGCAATACCTATTCACCATACTCTTTTATTCCCCCCCTTCTGACAGCAATAAACAAATGGGTAGGACGCTCCTGAGAAGATATTTCTTCAGTAACCGTGTTTTAACATATGTGTATGCTGACTTAAAATATGACTTTGTATAAATCCCGATTGTAAAGATCTAAAATCTGGCCTTGATTAAAACACAACTATTACTTTTTATTGTATCTTTGTGGGAATTGTGCTTTTTTTTTTTTTTTTTGCTTAATGCTGTTTTCAGAAAGCTGCATTATGACAACAGGGGCATCCTTTTATTCATCTGGATAGGACCCTACCAAGTCAGGAAAAGAGAATTTTCTGAAGTCTCCAGCTACCTGACTTTTTCAAAGCTATTCTGTTGGGTACTGAAGCAGCAGTCCCTTCTCTTTGCAAAGTTCTTACCTGTCCACTGAGCTATGACACTTCACCAACCATTGAGAGACAGTGCTATCAATTGAGCAGAGACATCATAGTCGAAAAAGGTCTGGCATAGGAAACCTTGACTAAAACAACGTGAAAAGCTAATTTAGTACGGCATTCAATTGGGGACGGTCAGAGTGTTTTCCGTTTAGTAATGAAGAAACACGTGCTTTCTGTTTAAAACAAAGCAAGGGGCTCTTGATGTGTCGGTTAGCAACATATTTTGTACTTAAAACACTCAGTCAACAGATTATTTTTTTAAAAAACGTGTAAAGGCGAGATAAGGTCATTTTAGGTTACACATCCACAGCTGCAGATATTGAAGCTTACAGAAGCTAATTCTGTCAACCTGGCATTGCTAAAAATATAGCAGCTGGCTGTGTGCTTACTGGACAATATTTGCTACTTGTAAGTGCAGAAATAAGGAAAAACTGTACCTATGTTTTAAGGTGCAGAGGACTCTGAAGGCTGCATTCCTACAGAGAAGTTATTTTATTAATTTCTGACGGCTTTATTATTATTATTAAAAGTGTTACATGGTTTGTAGCTGGCAGAAGATGATTTCAACGATTACTTCAACCCAAGATGAAATATTTTCCTCAATAGACCTGGGCCACCCCAATATCCCCTGTGAGAAAGGAAGGGGGGGGGAAAAAGATTTAGACTTGTGAAATATTTCCTGAAATTAAAATGTAGCACTATGTCAAGAATAAACATTGCTGCTCGTTACAATAGAATCAAAGGAAGTACGGAAATTAAACATTACAATAAGATTTCCCACACTGAAATAAGGAAATGCTGCAAACTATTTTGGTGGAACAGACAAAGATAATAACTTCTGGAAATTCAGTTGATGTTTATGTATGAAAAATTAAGGGACACCGTTGTTTATTCTTGCAGGAAGTGGCCAAAGTTAAAATAGGCACAGGAAGAGATAGGACATTAACAGTTAAAGTTTGCACTGGATGGATAGACATATAAGACTGACAGACTATGGTTCAATCTATCTCATAGCATTCATATTTTCTTTACTCTTATCCAGGTTTTTTTTTTTTTAATGAATGGCACTGCTCAAATTAAGCCTACCTATCGATGCAATTAATAAATGCAGAATTCAATGTACTTTTCTGGGAGCCTGTTCCCCTTAACCCCTACATAGTATGAATGTAGAATACTTACTTCAGAAGTCCATACCAATACAGATAGGGCATCACATTAGCCTTCATATGAAAACTTGTCAACCTCTCTTTGCTCTGGTCGAATGGAAATGTTTCTAAAGGCTGAGCATTGTAATCAAACTCAGCCAGGATTGCTCGGTTGTAGTTGGTTATCAGAGGACAGGAAGTATATCCATCATACTATAAAACATTAAAAATATGCCTTTTAGGACAGGAAAAACATTCAGGATATTACATATCCTTTAAGGAGCTTCATGCTCCATGAATTTGTCTAACCCCCTTTTAAAGTCATTCAAACTGGTAACCCTTCTTAAATTTAAGGGATTGCAGAGTTTAATGTACTGTGTGAAGAAATTATTTTTCTCTTTTTAATCTCATAATTCATTGTCACTGGGTGAACCCAGTTTCCAAAATTAGAAGCCCTGGAAAGAAATTTCTGGTGTTATTTTGCTGTCAGCTTTATAATGCTGGTTGGAGAGATATATAAAACTTCAGTCCTCGGAACCATGTAAATGAGTTAAAATTTTAGCGTGTTTGTTGCATTGCAAATACAAATATTTCCCCAACATAATAAAAAACCCATTTCCCAATGAAAAGAAAATATATTGTTCCTTTTCAGGAAAAGTTACCTTCTTAGTGGGAGTTTTGCCTTTCATGATACATGAAATTGTTTTATCAAGTACACCACACTGGCCAGCTGTGGAAGAGAAAAAATGTTTTATTTTGTCTCATTTTTCTGCTAAAAAAAGAGAGTTATAATTTTTTCTAAGGTGGCTTAACTCTTTGAGGTTGGTGGCAGGTTTTTTTGGGTCATGTTGGGAATATTCCCAAGAGCATTCAAATTGGATAGCTACTAATACAGTGTTTCTCAACCATGGAGACTTTAAGACCTGTGGACTTTGACTCCCAGAATCCCCCAGCCAGCACAGCTGGCTGGGGGATTCTGGGAGTCGAAGTCCACAGGTCTTAAAGTCACCAAGGTTGAGAAACACTGTACTAATAACATAGACATTTACATGAGCTGCTGAGATTGGTGACTGGGCTTTGAGGCCCTCTCTTTCCCCACTATTCCATAGAAAAACACCTTGTATTGAATCCTAATTGGGGTCTCTATGATGACCATATCAAATACTTTCAGACACAAGGAGATGCGACCCAACATTTAAAACTGGCTTTTTGGTCCTGCAACAAGGAGACCAAAATGCAAGTACGGTACCTAGAAATTAATCTCACCTACAGCTGCAGCAGTCTTGGATGTAGGGAGGTTGGTGCAGTCTCCAATCCCAAAAACATTTGGGTATTTCACATGTTGCAGGGTCTCCTTGTTTACATCCACCCATCCAGCGACGTCAGAAACTGGACTGTTTAACAGGACATCAGGAGGGCCCATGGGTGGAGTGACATGAAGCATTTCATACTGGAGAGCAGAGGGGAAAAAAACGAGATTCAGTTAGAAGACAATATTTGAATCTCCGGGCTGAACCGAAGAGTCCTTGGTGCTCTCCAAGATTTTCTTGCAGACGTCTCATTACCAAGTAGGTAACATCACAAGTGCCTGATGTTGTTACCTAGTTTGGTAATGAAACGTCTACAAGAAAACCACCAAACAACTGAGGAACTGTCTCTTTCCAGTTCGGTCCTTTCTTCTCCACCAGCTTACAGGTACTTGTTGCTTAACAGCCATTTGTTCAGCAATTATTTGAACTTAAAAGCAGCGCTGAACGAATAGTATTTACCATTGGATAGCAATAGCACTTAGACTTATATACCGCTTCACAGAGCTTTACAGCCCTCTCTAAGCGGTTTACAGGGTTAGCACATTGCCTCCAACAATCTGGGTCCTTGCCATTGGCTCCTTGAAGTGATCAGTTAGAGCTCTTGGCATCCTAACTGGGGACCAGCAGTTGCCTTGTATAGGGCCAGGAATGGGAGGAAAAATAATGGTGGAGGTCAGTTGGGGGCAGCAAAGCAGCAGATTGGGCAAAAATGAAAAGACAGGTGGGTGGTGTAAGTTAAAAGGTGAGAGGACAGGAGAGTGTTGTCCTGAACGAATAGCTGCAAAGGGACTACAGAAACTGCTATTTCTAAGTGATGAAGCTGTGTGATGTTTCATCGAATGGCTGCCTTGAATTAAAACCATTCACCAAGAACTATCGGTAATCTTCCTGCCTCTTTAAATTCTTTATCGCATAAGGATGGATAGTGCTGCGTGGGTATGCTTTAAAAAGGCTCATCCTAATTCTCCATCCACACTCCCCCTGCCAGTTCTAAACAGACAAGCAGCCTAAACCATGAACGGGAAATTAATAGTTGGGAAATTCACTGAAAAATTCCATTTGCTCACCCGATAAACTTGCGTTTCCCCAGCTTTGTCCAAGTTCTCAAATACGGCTTCCTGCTTATCTGCTCGGACTTCCACAAGGTTCCATTTGTAGTTCACTGTAATATCTCTTTCTTTGATAATCTTTAGCAGAGCATCAGCATACTTCTTAACACCAAATATCGCTCCAAGAGATGTATTGAATATGATATTGGCTTTGGACCGTTTTCCAGTCTAGGGAAAACGAGAGGAAAAAGTGAAGCATTCTTGAAATACTTGGGGGGAAAAAACTCAATTTCTTGTTCTTGTCTGTACCGTAATCATAGAATCATAGGGCTAGAAGGGACCTTGGAGGACCCCTAGCTTAGACCAACCCGCTGCCCAAAGGAAGAATCCTTATCTATTGTTGATTAACCATAACTGGGTTTATGTAGCTCGCCCAAAAAGATTTAAGCTAACAGCTTTTGAAGAAACCACAGTAAATGATGCACCCATCTTTTTAGGCGATCAGCACCTAACAAAACACAGTTTACACTTGCAGTAACGGGATTCATGATACATACAGAACTAAACTGAATCCAAAGACTTAAATTTGATGTCTGTATCAATACGTTGGATATGCTTAATGCTACAATTTTAATTCTATGTGCAAATTTATGCCAATTTAACTAGTTGGTCCTGTCGATTTAACAAAATTGCTTGTATGTCTTCAATCGGAGGAGCACTCTAAAACTACCCATACTTTAAGCTTATATTCTAGCTGCAGTTTAAATTAGGATAAGTGCACTTTCAATAACTTTTTGTTGCTTGTTTAGGCAACCAATAGCAATAGCAGTTAGACTTATATACCGCTTCATAGGGCTTTCAGCCCTCTCTAAGCGGTTTACAGAGTCAGCATATCGCCCCCACAGTCTGGGTCCTCATTTCACCCACCTCAGAAGGATGGAAGGCTGAGTCAACCTTGAGCCGGTGAGATTAGAACCGCTGAACTGCAGATAACAGTCAGCTGAAGTGGCCTGCAGTACTCCACCCCAACCACTGCGCCATCTCGGCTCAGGGTAGTTGTGCAGTGGCTGACACGTACCTTTCTCAAGTAGGCGTCTGTCAGATACATGATTTTTTGTGGCGCCCCTGCACATTTCACCGGAGTGTTTGGAAAGGTGAAAATGGCATTTCCTTCCTGGAAATCCTGAAGAGCTTTCCATGTTTTCTCCACTGTGTGAATGGAATAATTGGAACCAATTTTAGGAAACTTAAAACCCTCAGGCAAGCCTTTGATCTGTAATAAGACAAAATTAGCAGGATAATATTTCACTGGATTAAACATGCGGGCTGTTTACTTTCAGGGAATCTATTTAATTCCAAGCATACCATCCTGGCCTCCCTAATCATCTTAGCCATAGTTCCTTTAGCAGTGCTTTGTTGAGTAAGCCACCTGTGGGTTCAGTTCACGCAACACGCACAACATCTACAAACCACAACAGCAGAGTTCACACAACATGCTACATCCAGAGTAAGCTTAAATTGAAGTTTAGCATATTGTGGTGTCATATCTGCTCAGATTCCCCTATAGACAAGATCATATCTCAGAGATACTCCATTCACACTGAATTTGATTTCTGAATATTATCTTGATGTGTAAATATTTGCAAAATACTCAGATGAAATCATCACATCTCTATTAGATAAAGGGTAAAACTGGCATTGGCTTACATTTAGTGTAAACGGTTGGCTGAATTAACAGGAGAGATTTATGACTAAGAGAGATTAAGAAGTTCACCTAGCTATCATGTATTCCAATTTAGAAGGAAGCATGATTTGGATAAATACACGAATTAAAAAAGTTTGGGTTTGGGTTTCATCTCCTTCATCCAACTTCTTTCTATCTTTTTTATTTTAGTAGATGAACCCAGAATAAAAATCAATAAACTCTTTTCCAGCACTGAATTATAACCTAGCATCCTTAAAGAAGAAAAATAATCTTGATATCGTATTTCCCCAAAAATAAGACAGTGTCTTATTTTCTTTTCACCCCCGAAATAAGCGCTTGGCCTTATTTTCGGGGAGGTCTTATTATTTTTGAGGTGCAGGAGGGCCCCCTTAACCTCGGCCCGCGGATCAGTTGATCCAGAGCCGGAAGTTCTGTCTCTGTTTCTGGCACCCTCTTCCCAGCCCTAGCATCGCTGGGCCTGCCGCTTTTTTTGCAGCCGCCACTAAGAGAAGGGGCGCAGTAGGTAGGATTTACAGGAGCGGCCTCCACGAGGCCATTCTATGTGGATGGCAGGTGCATGTGGGGCATATTCTCCCCTCCTTCCCCCAGGAAAGGGCAGGGACTGGCTGTGCATGCATTTAAATATTTTAGGGGAGGCCCTATTTTAGCGCATGCGCTCAAAAACCCAATTGAGCTTATTATCCGGGGAAGGCTTATTTTCGGGGAAACGGGCTATAGAAACACAGCCTCCCAAATTGGCCAAGTAGTGATTATCTTTGTGTTTGTGTGTCCACCATTGAAACAAGCTCATTTCACAACAACATGTCCCTGGATGCATTCAATTTCCTGA